AAGCACTTGCCACGTAGAAATTACTGCAAGTGAAATTTTTTCCGAATGGTATCTAATTATCTATATAACTATATAAAATGATAGCCGTTTTTGTTGTTCTGCGAGATGAGCAAAATAAATAAAAGCTTGTAAAATTAGGGTAAGTGTAGAGACAGTGCAGGTAAACCTAATACTTTCTTTGATAATTGATAATAGGTTCAAATTTTATCGCTAATTTGCACATACATATATTGAATGCATCTATCGGAGCAGTTTCCTTATAAATGTTAAAAATAATGCTGCTGATGCGCATTTTGGGGTAGGTATCTTAAATGTGCACTTAAGTATAAAGGCAGCAAAGCAAAATATACTGTAGATATTATATATATGTAATTGTTATATTTTGACTGTATCCGTTGTTTCTGACTGTCGCAAAAAAAACTTGCCTAGTGACGAATTCGCCCCTTGGTATGGTGATTTCCCAAAGCTATTTATATTCGAAATTGCATGAAAATTGGAAAACTGGATCCTATAAGCTTATCCAGGCAAAAAGCCATTCTCTTTTAAGTCGGATGGATTTCGTAAAAAAAAAAATTATGTCATAGCTCCTATTCGCTTAAATTTTTTTTTATAGGTTCTATAAATGAAATAAGCCAACACGTATTCGAGGAAATTTTTTTATATTTTTTTTTTCGGAGATATGATCTGTCAAAGTTTGCATCTTTTCGTGATTCTGACTAATCATGTACTTATTCAAACCGTTGTATCTCGGGTTCTACTCATCGTAGAGAAGTATCTTAACGTCGTTTTAAAGCTATAGAAACGGGCTTAATAGTTTTATATAAAAGATGGTCAAGATTGTCCTAAAGCTAACTTAGCTTTTAACAGCTGAACTTTTTGAAGCTGATTTGCATAGTGAAGACCAGTAAATTAGGGATTCAAAATTATACCATCGTAATCCTTCTTTAAAAAATGGGGGTTTTTCAAGAACTACTTTTAAAATATTTGTCTTTATGGCGAGATGGTTTATTTTGTGGGAATCAACAATTTTTTGTAATTTATTTTCGAAAACTTATGATGAGATCTACTTAGTAAGGTGTTAAACATCGGGTTTTTGCAAACAGTAAAATTTTATTGCGGATTCCGTTAGAATACCTATCCAGAAAT